CCGCATCGTGATTTTAAGAGGCCGATTAAGGCCCTTTTGTTATATTTAATCACAGTCAGAATTTTTTTTACGTATGTTTAATTTTTTTTTCGTGGATTCAAGTTATTTCAACGATGTTCTTTTTATATATCTAAGATTTTTTTTTTCCTGATTTATATGAATATAAGCACATTTAACTAATTTTTATAAAATTTATTGAAAAAAGTTACTATTTTTTTTAAAAACTGATAAGATATTACGATAATACTGTACTTAACATAAATGTGGGATTAATTAAAATAAATCTTTTTAATTTAGTCATTAACTAATTAAATTTAACTATAAGAAACCTTCTTAAATGTGAGATTAATGAGTAATTAATTAAAAAAGTGTAACTCCTTTTGGAGGGAAAGTGAAAATATTTTTATTAAATATTTTATTAAATGCTATTAGCTAGCAATTATATATATATAGATTTGTTTCATGGTCATATAAGTAGTTGAAACATTTATTTAGCCAAGAGAAATTGGAGTGCAAATTCCAATACAATTATGAATACAAATTAATTATTCATATGTAGTAACAAATACTATTTCTTTATTGATAAATCATGCATAGAAATTGATAAAAATTTATTTCAATGTAGTAAATGTAGTTTTTGATGAAAATTTTACATAGAAGTTGGTAAAATTTATTTCTAGTAATTAATATAGTTTTGGAGGGAATTTTTAGCTGCTTCACTTTAATATATATATAGATGTGCAGTTAAACATGAAGTGTTGAAACTCCTTATCAGATAAATTATTCTAAGTTAATGTGATGATTGAAAGCATGAAGTTTCTTGGTTCATTTATATATAACATATTAATAAATTTCAAGGTTTGGCTTAGTTAGGTGAGACTTTAGTGGTTTTTGAGGTCATTGAAGATGATTAAAAGCCGTCTTAACAAAACACAGGTTTTTTAGGCGTGCCAAATTGCAGCTGACGTAGACTTTTTCGTTGAGGCAATCTTGAGCAACCTTGGTCACGAGATGTCCATTTGACTGTTTGTCCCCACGGGATTTATTAAAAGAAACAAAATAATGAATTGATATAATAGGTACGACTTATAATTACAACTAGTGTGTATCCCGTGCGATGCACAGGAACAATATTAAATTAACAATATTATAAATAGATCTCGAGTTTGAGTCACTGACGAAAGTAGAAACTACTATTGTTCCTATTTAAAAAGAGAAAGAAAAAAAATAATTATAAAGTAAAGAGGATGATAAACAATACTTAATAATTATAAATTAAAGATTCGGGGTCAATCAATGTAAAACTATTTTGTATAAGAAAATATGAAATTTACATTATTTTGTATAAGAGAATATAAAATTTGCATGTTTAATACTAAAAACACCTAAAATATTATATTAGTATATATGTAAAAGTATTCAAAATTTTCTATATTATTTTTGAAAGATGTGAAGTCATCTACAACTTTTCTAAACAATTTTAGAAGGAAAACATATCTAAGAACATTTGAATTTAACATTGTGTAAAAAAGATTTTTCTAGACTATTTTGTAAAGAAAATATGTCTATATTTAAATTTAATATGTGTATATGTACATATATATATATATATATGTGTATGTTTTGTATAGTTTTTTAGAGATAATAATTCAACACGTGTATTTATTTTAGGAAATGAATAACAAACTTAATATCAGTTTTGAATAATGATAAGGTGTGTTGACGGGTGCTTCCGGTCAACGGTTAAAAGATTAAATAATAAAAGGAGAATAAGGAAAAGGCAAGGGAATACGGTTTAATTGCGGTTTTATTAAAAGACCACGAGGTCGGCCTCTCGTACGAGGTCGGCACTTGCGATATACTTATATTTCTTACACGAATTTCTTACAAGTTTTAGAGAGAGAAAATATAGAAAGAGCTTTTTACAGTTGAGATTCAACAACCCCAAAATAAATGAGAAGGGTTGCTATTTATAGTAGCCTTTAATGTGGCACTGTTCAGGTACTGTTCATCAGTCTTGTCGTACAGTGTTCCTGCGGGACAGTCCGGCGCTTCCCTGACAGCATTAAATGCGATTTGAGGTTTTCCTCATCATTAGGTGACAGGCATTTAATGCTGACAGGCTTTATGTCTCAGCTAAGAGGAGTAGGTCCGCAGGCTATGATGTCCCATCCATTTAGCCAATGATTGCCCTCCAAGTGGCATTATTATACCATTATAGAGATCGGCATTCTCCGTTGTAGAGGCCCGCTCTGGGACCCCAAGTCGGCACCTCGGCATCTTACTTTCATCTGTTCCCCTGGTCCCGGGGAATCTTTCTTTCAGTCCATCATTTTTCAGCCCGGCACCCGCGGCGTCGTAATTGAAAATACCGGACTAACGAATGGTCTTACGGCGATGCCAGGGTCAAAAGGTTTTCCGGTCCAGCTCGGCACTTTATGGGCGGACCGGGTCTCTGGTTCGGCTCTCGGAATTGTGGTCCGGTTCAGTCTCAAGGGCGAACTCGGATGTCAACATACAGGCCCCCGGGCTCGGAGAGGGTGCGCTTCGGCATCCTCTGTGAGGCCGTCATCCTCAGAATACATTTGGGGTCGGCACATGACTTGGACTTGAGCAAATCACAACCACAATTTGCCCGTTACCTTCTGATCTGAATCGACGTCCCATTTAATGCGTTGTGACCGTTGTGCTTCCTGTCGGTTACGAAAAGGCGTGCCGGTTCAGAGCCTTTATACGTGTCGCCCATTTATTGGCGGTCTCCGAACGTCATGTCGCTTCGTCGAAGCGGTGACTTTTGGGGCGCGTGGTCCTCACGCGGCCGTTCATAAACCGTCGGATCGTTTCGTTCCCAACCGTTAGATCATGTCATAGATTTCGAATTTTGAATGTTACGCCACGTGTTGCACCGCGATTGGCTCTCGATTCGTATATATATTTCCGTCGTCTTCCTTGAGAAGCTTTTACGAGCTTCCAGAATTTTCAAGCGACCTAAGTCTTCTGAGCAGCCGAATTCCCGAGCAAGATTTCAGAGAGACTTTCAGGATTTTTCGAGTTTTTCGGGGATCTCCAAACCGGTAATTCCGTTTATCTGAAACTTTTTCTTCACTTTCTTTCGATTATGTCGAATTTGTCCGACTGTGCTGCGAACCTCCTCGCCGGAGATGGCGGTTTCACGGCGGAGGAGACCGGGGAGTTGGTCGTTTATTCCCCGCCGACGACCGGGGCGATGCAACCGCTCAGAGTGACCCCGATTTCCGCCGTCCGCGTGACGTCGGCGGCGGCGGCAACAGACGCGCGTCGTGGGGAGCCCTCGGATTTCCCCACAATCGAGATAATCGACCTCGGGTCAGGCCAGTCCGACGCCGAGGAGGGCGAGAAGAAGTCCGACCCCGCCTCTCCCGCCGAATCGGATGTAGACGCCGAGCTGGTGGAAGAGACGCTCCGAGGCAACACCTACGGACGAGAACGTGTTCCCATGGCGCGCGAGGATGTCGAAACTGACGCCGCCGTCGAAGCCGCCACCACGGCTCCTCTGGGGTGTTGGTGCCGCCCTCCGCGGGTGTGGCCTTCTACCGCCTCGGCTACCGCATGGACGACCCCCTCGGTGCTGACGGATCTTGATTTGGCCAAACTGAGGGGCAAGGCCAGCTTTGGCGCCGGGGTGAGAATTTTCGCCCCTTATGCAGGCGAGCGAATACACTGTCCGCCGCCGGGTTGCGTCGGCGTTTATCGGTCGA